CACAAGGCAGCCCCCCAGGCTGCCCCCACCCAGGCTGCCCCCACCCAGCCTCCAGAGGAGCCCCAGGCTGCAACCCCCACCCAGCTCCCAAAGGCCCCCCCAGCTGCCATCCATTGCTCTGCGGAGGTGTCCCCTGCTGCTGGCCCTGTTGGGGAGTCCCCTGGCACCCCTCCTGTGGAGGAGGCTGCAGGGCCTGGCAAGGGGGCAGTGGAGAAAGCCATGCCGGAGCCCAAGGCAGCTGCTGGGCAGGAGCCACCCGGCCATAAATCCACCTCCCAGGCTGTGGCACCACCACCGAAAGCGGGTCGAGAGAGCAGCCTGCCCACCAAGGCACCCGCCGCACGGCCATGGAGGCACCAGCCACTCCTCAGCCCGGCGCAGCCCAGCGACAGCAGCAAGGACATCGTGCAAGCCTTCATCAGCGAGATCGGTGAGCAGGAGGGCTGCGGGGCACTGGGCTGAGTGTCACCAGCTGGCGAGGCTGCGGTGCTGCTGGCAGCCCAGGTAGCGGGACTGGTTCCTGGCACTTCTGGGGGCGAGAGTGGCAAAGCTGTGCCCATGGGCTTGCAGCCTCTTCCCAGCACCCTGCCAGGACGTTGCCTCCAGTGGATGGTCTGGACTTGCTGTGCCCAAACTGGTCCCTCCTGGGGCTGCAGAGCTGGGTGCTCCTGTCACTGCTGCGGGAGACGCGGAGCTGCTGCTTCTCCTCCCCAGTGCTTGCCCCATCGCCCGGGGAGGCTGATGCAGGGGGAGGATGAGGCCGGGGTGCATCCCTGTGGTGCCAGGAGGGTTTTGGCTGGCCTGACTTGTTGTGCTTTCTCCCTGGCCCAGGGATCGAAGCCACCGACCTGTCCAGCCTGCTGGAGCAGTTTGAGAAGTCTGAAGGTGCGGTTGCGGCGTGCTGTGCTGTCCCCCGCGGGGCTCCCTCTGTGCCACACCAGCCTCCCCAGGCTGCCCATGCTCACTGCAGCAGGGTGGGAGCAGGGGGGCCGGGATGCTGCTGCCTGCGGGCTGGTGTTACTCTGGCAGGTGCCTTGTCCTGGGAGTGTCTCTGCCCCCATCTTTTTCCTGGCCTGTGAAAGCGGCCAGGGGTTCCTGGGGCGGCCAAGGGGGTGGTGAAGAGCGTGGGAAGGAAAGGGGACTTGCAGCAGCTCTCTGCAAGGAGCTGGTCTGGGGCATGATGAAACCTCTCCCTCACTGTGCTTGGGGTGCTCTGTGTGTGTGTCCCATGCAGGGTCTGTCCCCTGCCCTCCAGCCCCAGCTTCTCGCCACCCTCACCCACCCACTCTCTTTTCAGCCAAGAAGGAGGAGGCTCTCGTGCAGCCCCCCGAGGACAGGCGGCCGGCAGGGAGCTCGGGGTGAGTACCGAGACCTCCGCAGCCAGTGCCCCAGCATGGAGCCTGGCAGAGGGCTGAGCCCTGGCTTCAGCAGGGGCATGGGGCAGCTCTTGGTTCTGGCAGGGTCCAAATGGTGCCAGGGGCTGCATCCACCAGCCCAGGAGGAGCTGAGCTCCTCACTGGGCTGGGGACCAGAGCTGGCACCAAGGGAAAAAACTGGGGGAAGCAGTGCTAGGCATGACTGGGCTGTGCAAGCTCCGTCCTTGCAGCTCTCTCAGATCCTCACTTTCCCCTGTCCAGGCAAGGGGACAGCTCGGGCAGGTGCCCCAGGTGTGCAGACTGGGGCTGGGCTTTGGCCGATGTTTGACAAAGCTCCTTTCCCCTTCTCAGGCCTGAGACCCAGCAGGACAGGAAGCCCCCAGACAACCTGCAGGCCTCTGAGCTGGCCAACGTGGCAGGTAATGTCCGGGGTGAGGCAGGGAGCCTGCCGTGGGGCTGGGGGAGACCCCGGGGCTTGAGGGAAGATGGGCCGGGAGGGAGCCCCAGCTGGGCGGGTTGCAGCAAGGGGCTGCTCTTGAAAGCCCTCCGGTGCTCTCGCAGGCCTCACCCCCCCAGCGACGCCCCCCCACCAGCTCTGGAAGCCATTGCCCGCTGTCTCGCTGCTGGCCAAGGCCAAGTCGCCCGGGTCCGCGCCCCAGGAAGGGCCCCAGAAGACAGCCAAGCTGACAAAAGCCAAGCTGTTGCCCCAGAGCAAGCTCCAGGGGAAGAGCCCGGCATCGGCCCCTGCTGGCTCAGCCCCCAGCCACGTCTGCTCGGGAGACCACGACTACTGCATCCCGGGCACGGCACGGCCGGAGAGCAACAGCAGCCCCGGCACGCAGCCCCCCACTGAGGGCGGCTCCCGCTGGAACGTCAAACACCACCGGGACATCACTATCAAACCCATCTCCTCCTTAACCAAATGGACGCTGGACCAGCCCAAGCCCACCCCGCCAGCCCCCACCACCACCACGGGGCCCAGCCAGGCGCCCCTGGTGAAAAACAGCCAGGAGCCCCTGGGGACGGCCTGCCCAGCCCCCCTGGATTATCGGACTAGCGTCCCCAACAAGGCCACCGCCGGGTGCAGCAGCCCCCCCACCTCAGTGCTCCTGTCTCCAGCCGCATCCCCCTGCCGGGACCAGGAGATGCGGACTCCCAGTGCCCAGCCCAGCCATGCTGCTGCCAAGAGGTCCCTGCGCTGCTACCGGAGACCCCAGGACTCGCCCAGCCCCTCTGCCGGCACCTGGAGGGCTGGCAGGAGCCGTGCCAGCCGCTCCTTCAGCTCCAGTTCGGATGGAGCTAGTGAGTCCTCATCTTCATCTTCATCCTCATCCTCCCGATCCCGGTCACGGTCGTTCTCCCCACCGCCCAAGCGGTGGCGAAGGTAAGTGGTGGAGCAGTTGTCTGCTTGCTCTTTGGGCAATTGCCTGGTGGCCTGTCTTTTGCAAGGGTGCCCAGACACCTCTTTATGGAGGTATCCAACCTTTTTGTCCTTATGGCCCCCCTGAAGGGGTGTCTGGCTCGCTGTGAGCAGCAGAGACCAGGGGAGCTGCTGTGATACCCTGCCCTGGCTGAACCTCGTGTCTAGGCGGGTGTTCCTGCAAAGCCACCTCTGAGCCAGGCTTCCTTACCCGCCCTGGAGCACCATGGTACGAGTCCTTGGCTGCATCTTGGCTTTTGGATGCGTTTGCTGGGGTATTAATGCAGGTGTTGGTGTTTGTGCTGTGGGGCTGGTACAGCCCTAGGTGTGGAAATGAGAGGAGCCACAATGGCAGCAAGGAGCTGCTGGAGGCAAGCAGAGAAAAACCCGTCTGGCTTGGCTGCCTCAGGGGTTCCCCGTGCTCCTGGTGGAGGTGGCTGCGTAGGAAAGTGGGGCAGCTTGGTCTCTGCGGGAAGCATTTCTTCTGGAGTCCTTGTGCATCTGAGTGATGCACAGCCTGGCCCAGCTGGGGTGGGAGGCACTGGAGATGGCAAAGAATCCTTCAGCTGCCCTTCCCTGGGGTTCAGCCAGTTTTGGAGATGTCACTGGTTTTGGAGTCATCCCAGGTCACTGGGCATGAAGGGCTTGTCCAGCCAAGGCCCCTCCATCAGTGGCCAATAGGTGTGGAGGCTGGAGCTGGAAAGGGCACATATATAGTGCTGTGGCCCAGGGATGTGCAGCTCAGGGACTTGCCCTGTCTGGCTTGCATTTCCAGCAAATACAGCTGGCCCTGTGCTGGGAAATGTCCCCACGGACTGTGCCATCCTAACTTGCTGTCCTCCAGGGGAATACATGGCAGTACCAGGCAGCCCGCCCCACTTGGGGCCTGGGTTTGCCTATGGCGAGGACCGCCTGTGGGCAGCAAGTTTAGGGAGGGCTGACTGGAGGCAGTACAGCTTGATCCCAGAGGGGTTCCAGTCCTGCTGCCCTTAAGCTTTGCCTGGCCCTGCCAGAGAAGCTCTTGTAGGCAGGAGGCTGCGGGCACAGCAGCCCAGCCCTGTCCCAGTGCGTGCCACGGCCCTCGGTGTGGTTGGAGGCACACGTGGTCTCTGTTTGCATGGCCCTTGAGTGCAACGTGGATGTGGTGGCCCCAGTGTCATCCTGTGCACCAGGCGGGGCTCAGCACAGCAGCCCCAGCCCCTCCTGGGCCCTTGCCCTGTTGCAGCCATGTCCTGCACGGTTCCCTGTGACTATTTCTTGCTCTTCAGAGGCTGTGCCTCTTGTGAGCCTGCTCCCTTTTTGTGTTTGGAACCAAATGGAGCAACGTCTCTGTAGTGTCGTTACTGCCCTGGCAAGCTTGGGCAGAGGTTTCCATAGCCCAGCTCACCTTGGGGATGGGTCGTGTCCGTGCGGGGTGCTGGGTACCTTGGGGAGGATGGAGGTCTTTTTCTTCTCCGGAGCCTCGTGGTGCTGGGCATGGGGAGGGCTCGGCACTGAGCTGTGTCTCTCCTTCCCCCAGGTACCGCTCAAGATGTTCCCACAGCTCCTCCTCCCGCTCCAGCTGTGGGTCATATGGCAGGTCCCGGGACAGGTCCTCATCCTCATCGTCAACGTCCTCCTATTCGTCCAGGTCCACGTCCCGCAGCCAGTCCCGTTCCCGCTCCCCCTCGCCCCGCAGGAGGAGTAACAGGCGGAGAAGGTGAGTGTGGCCACTCTGCAGCAGTGTGAGCTCCCCCAACCCATCTCCTGGCCTCCTGTGTCCTGGGCAGGGGTGGACCCACTCCTTCAGTATCTCCGTTGTGCCCGGGATCACTCTCTTCTGGCACCCCCGTGACCCTGTAGCTCACGTGTCCGGTTTCTGCCCTGCCAGATACAGTTACGATGCACAAGACCACTACCAAAGGCAGAGGATCCTCCAGAAGGAACGTGCAATAGTGAGTGCTGGAGGGCTGGGAAGCTGGGGCTGGAGATTTGGGGGTCCCCAGCCCCTCCCATCACTTCAGAAAGCCGTGGGGTCGCAGCCTGGCAGGCAGCATTGCCGGGAGGCTCTGGCCAGGGCACGGTGTGATGGGTGGCGATGCAGGGAGGATGCTCTGTGCGAGAGGTCCTGCTCACCGGGAGGGCTCGGAGAGGCCGCGTTCCCCCATTCCCATCTCACGGGATGGTGCATCCCTGCCCACAGGAGGAGCGGCGAGTTGTGTTTATTGGCAAGATCCCCAGCAGGATGACACGGTCGGAGCTGCGGCACCGCTTCTCTGTGTTCGGGGACATCGAGGAGTGCACCCTGCACTTCCGCTCCGAGGGGTAAGAGCTGCGGGGACGTGGGGCAGCCTCTTCCCAGGGAAGGCTCCTCTTGGCCCTTTTCCCATTCCTCAAGGGGACAGTGCAGACCAAGGAGGGACAAAACACTGCGTTGCTGCTGATCTCCTTCCTTCTCCTCCTTCAGGGACAACTATGGCTTTGTCACCTACCGCTATGCCGAGGAAGCCTTTGCCGCTATTGAGAGCGGGCACAAGCTGCGGCGCCCGGACGAGCAGCCCTTCGACCTGTGCTTCGGCGGCCGCCGGCAGTTCTGCAGGAGGAACTACGCCGACTTGGGTGAGTCGCGCAGCCCCAGATTGGGGGCTGGCACCTTCCCAGAGGTGTAGGGGTCCCCATCCTTGGGGGCAGTCAGGCTTGGCTGGGCAGGGCCACGTCCAGGGATAGTCCTGCCCCGAGGGGAGGTTGGACGGGGGCTCCCCGTCCCTCCAGCGCTGTGATGGAGGCCAGGTCTGGTCCTCCATCAGCCCAGCTCTGGGTCTAGAGGTTGGCACGTGAAGCGAGATGGGAAGGAGTTGCTGTGGGGATGGCCGGAACTGTGCCGATGTCCCCGTGGCTCAAGGCAGCCTCTCCCTCTGTCTTCCAGACTCAAATCGGGAGGATTTCGACCCGGCCCCCGTCAAGAGCAAGTTCGACTCCCTGGACTTCGACACGCTGCTGCGGCAGGCACAGCGCAGCCTGCGGAGGTAGCGGCAGGCGAGGCGGAGCGCCCGCCCCCACTTTTATACTCAAATACAAAAGACAAAAAAAGTATGGAGAGAGAGAGATGGGGTTTTTAAGAAAAAGAAAAAGGAAAAAAAGAAATTTGTTTTATAACCAATATTTAAGGAGGACGGGTCATTTGCCTTTGACCGGAGGGGCCCAGGCGAGTGGCAGCCCCAGGCTTGCCCCAGCCATGTAATAAATGCGGATGCCCAAACAGCAGCGCTGCCTCGTCTCCTCCTTCGTGCGGGCTGGTCCAGGCGTGGGCTCGGGCTGTGCTCCCTCGGGACCCCGGGGGCTCTGTGCTAGGGTCTGGCCCCACGAGAGGTAGCACAGGTCGGGGACTGGGTGCAGGAGTGGGGCGTCTGGGGGATATGGGGCATGACTGGGGTCACTGAGCCGCTCTGTGGGGTCTGTGGCAGCCCCCAAAATGGCCTGGCACGGGGTGAAGGCCTCTTTGAGGACAGGCTGCGCAGACCCCTCTGACCGTTTCTCGGGCTCTGCTGGAGCGAGGACCCGGCACCCCAGCCCTGAGGCACCCGGCGGGGTTTTGGGGCCACCTGCAGCTCCCGTGGTGGCCACGGAGGGGCAGTGCAAGATCCTCCGCCGCTCCCGCCTGCGGGCTGGCGTGCAGGGGGGCTTCAGCCCCCGGCCCGAGCACGGGCAGGGGTCTGCCCGCTCTGAGGGCAGCGTGCGCGGCCGTGGCCTCTGCCCGTCCCCTTTCAGCCTGCTGGTTGGTTTTGCTCCAGCTCGCCAGAAGGAGGGGGATCTCTGACATCTCATCTCTGGGTGTCCCCCAAGATGGTGTGACTGCAGAGAGGTTACAGGCATCCGCAGCGGGGTGGTGCTTGGCGGAGGAGGGGAGGTCAGGGAGGGGATGCAGGATGCCTGTCCCGGCCCTCCCGTGCGCTGCGGCTCCTGGAGGAGAAGGGCGATCCCAGGCAGCGCCCAAGGCGGCGTTCTTGGTCCTGCTGCCTGTACCTCTCCCGGAGCCAGCAGTGCTGGGGCCCTGCACCCTGCTCCTGTCCTGGCAGCCAGGGAAATCCCCTGCCGCAGGCTGCTCCTGGGCTGGGATGAGCCTGGGGATCCCCAGCATTGGAGCGGGTCGGAGCTGGCAGTGCTGGCTGGGAACCCCTAGATAGCATTGAGCACCCCGGCTTTGGGACTGGGACAGGCTTGGGCAGGGTGCAGGGGTGCCGGGTTGGGCCCCCTCTCAGCACACCCTGGGGGTGGGTGATCCTGCAGCCTCCTGGCTGGGCTCTGCAGAGCTGGGGGAGCGTGGAGGGAAGGGACGGGCAGGGGATGGACCCCCCCAGGGCTCCTCGCAGTGCCTGGGGTGGGAGGGGGCTGGTCCAACTCCCCCAGTCCCCCCCAAATTCCCCCCTCCCTTGGTTGATGGAGGCAGCACCCACTCCTTCAGCAG